CCCCCCCCCTATTCCCTACCTTCCACTTGTGCAAAAAGATGAATGTTAAGGGATTTCTCTTATTGCTAGCATGGTCTTTTGCAGCGTTAGATGGGAATTTTTGGCAATCCGGGAATCTGAAAAGATGCAATGTTTACGTCGATGTTGGTTAACGCGGCGCACGTTAGGCCGCGGCCGTTGACATGTCAGCACAGAGACCATCTGCGACAACTTTATTCAGCGCGAAGTATCCTATTCAAAAATTGGCTGTTAAAGCCCGAGCTTTGCGCCACGTCACGCTAGAGCGACGAAGCAGAAACACTGGTAATTGTCAGGCGACCCCCTTCCCCTCCCACTTATCTAAGCCCCTAATAGGACTAGAGTAAGCCCTGACCTCTGAACGCTCTCAACTCTCTCCCTCCTACTTACCATTTATTGGATGTTTACGCATTTGTTACACTACCCCCCCCCTTATATTACTGTAAAGGCCTGGCGATGAATAAACAACCGAGAACCTACGTTCACCTAACTCGACTTCTTAAATGTGTTTACGGGTATTATCGCTGAACTAAAAATATGTATTTTTTAGAAATTGCTTGCAATCGCAACCGTACTAAACTAAGTGTACAGAAACAGTACTGCATGCCATGCTTGCAAATTGTGAGATAGCCAAATAAATAGGGAAACGAAGTTGAAGTTTTGCGTCTTAACTGACGGGAGCTTCTTAGACGTAAATACTGCAGTCCTCGTAATTGATGGCGGTCATCGGGGAGCAAGCGCGAATTGTAACATATAGGCCGTAATATCATAAAGTCATCAATTTCCAAAAAACGGAATTATTTTGCCCTTTGAATGGTGAAAGTAGATGGAGAAAGCGCGCATTAAAAGGGTTTTCAGTAACTACCTGCCCATGTGAGGGTATGATACAAACCGGGGGTTTTATACAGGAAGGTATATTGCTAATTATCGTTTAAGGAAGATATAAACCCATGACGCCGTGTACTTACTATGTCATCTAGTTAGTATTGATCGTTCATTCGAGCCTTACATATAACAACCTGGTACACACTTACAACATCCGCGTAGTCCAAAGTGATCAGCAAAATTTACTAAAGTTTCTGTCGATTGTCACATTTAAGGAAAGCTCAGGTTCTTTTTCAAGGGATGTCATTATGAATCATATTCGTTTAAGCTTCAGGCCTTCCTATTGAATGATAATTTCAACGGACTGTGTCATATTCTGTTACGGGCTACAGGTAGCCTCCAATATCTCAGCAAGGGGAGGCCAAACTAATGATCGGATTCATTGACAAACTGCAAAGGCTGGGATGTCGAGCCTATTAATAATCATACTGACCGGCGGTCACTTGTCAGCGTCAGCACAGACTTTCCTAGTTACCCTAAATAGTCGCACTGAAACCTGACAAATCACTCACATTAACAGATGCGGATCCGTGACCAGTTCTGGACGAATGCTGCGATGCTCATTGACGGCCGGCACGTGATCCGGATCCCAACCGATTATGGCCTCAAGCAGTTTGCTGCGCGACTTCTTAGTCTCCAGTTGGTCCTTATCCAGTGGTACGATGAACTCGCGACCGGTCACCTTCTTCAACTTCATGTGACTCTCCAGATGCATGGCCAACAGCAGTTCAATGAACTGAGAACGCAGAGATCCCGAAAGGTCTGCAAAGATATTTTGCGATGGAGGTAAGAAAGGGTTTGCAAACAAAAACACAAAGGGAGAAAAAGGTAATAAAGTATGGGACCTATCTGATGCAAACTGCCGAAATTTAGGAAAAACTGCTAAGCATTCGCAAACCGACATTGGGGCTTGTACGGAAAATTGAAAACAGTAATGAACAACCCTAGGCAAATTTATAACTTTAAGGAAACATATAAGTACTAATATATTGTTTAGAAATACCGACATTTAAAAAATTCAAATTCTGAAAACGTGAAAAATTGCTCCAATTTTGACCAATAAATGTA